ATTCATTATTATTATTATGTATATATATATATATATATATATATATATATATATTTAATAAATTTTTACATGTTTTTACATTTAGCGGAAGACTTTCGAAAATGATGCAACTTTGAAAAAAGAAGGAAAAAGGGAAGGAAGAAAAGTCATAAGGTTAATTGTGACCAGATATAAAGATCATCATGCAGGATGAATCGTTTAGTGTTACGAATTGAATCGAATGGGGGCAATCTGCATTTGAAAACGGCAAACGGTTGCACGCCTCCGCTGATTCTCTACTTAATAATGATTTAATTCGTCCATATATCAGACTTCCTTAACGAGATTAACTTGGCCGTGTTATGTATAATTAAATTAGAGCGGTTTGCTATGAAAAAAGAACATTTAAGCGCGTTAATCAATGACATCCGATTTCATCCGTTTTCCCGATGAAATTTCTTTCTGTTTTCACGATAACATTATAATTGGCAGGTTCGACGTGATTCATCTTCCCTTTTTCGGATGCATCCTCCACTTGAGTGCAGTGAAATTAACGATGATCGTTATTATTCAATAATAATAATTCATTCGCAATAATTCATTCGTGGTAATAATTCACACAGGGCGAGTCGTTTCCTTCCCAAAGTCATGCTGTATCGTTTTTTTCATAGTCTTTTTTTAGATCGACGGTAAAGTTCAAGGCGTTCCGCCTTGATGGTGCGCACTCAAAACTCGATACGAAATCGCCCACGGAAGTCTTCGGTTATTTTACAGACTTTTGTATACAGGGTGGGCCAAAGTGATCAGACCTGTAGCTCAACAAGTAAAGCAAGTTTATAAGCAACAAAGTTAACCCTTTGCACTCCGCTGTCGCCGCAGAGGCGACACTGTAGGTTAAGCTACTACTCCGTTGTCGCCTCAGCAGCGACATAAAAAAAAGAAATGTTATTTTTTGAATTTAAATGCTCTATATATTGAGTTTAAATATCCTTTAGTTTTTCTTGGAAACCTATACTGTTAGTTTGTATAAATAATTGTGTTAAAATTGTTATCATTTCTTTTACCATAAAATGAAGAAATTCAAAAAGTATTATAATTTTTTTATTTATTGTGCTTTTATATATTTTTTTAATTACACCGTATTGATAAAACATATTTGTAAAAATGTATGTCACATTTTTTTTTTTTTTTTTTTAATGACAAAGCAAGATTTTCAATATAATACGACTCGGAGTCTGCTGGTAGGTTATATTGAAAATTGTTCCCAGTGCAAAGGGTTAAAATTACAGATTTGAATTACTAATTATCTGTCTCGTCACTGGCATATTAAATCAATATCGAACGCTCAGAATGTTCCCAACAGCCCTCGAAATGTGATCTTTCGCCCACCCTGTATACAAAGTCGTGGACGAAGGCCACATACATTCCTGGGAGCGTAATAGTACGGCAGGATCGTCATCGTCATTAGCACTTCTTTCACGAGTTCACCACTGTCAACTGGTTCATCGTCTTGTTGTTTTTCTGCTGAACAAGTTGTCCGGCTGATAAGTATGTATTTCACATACGTACGATCGTTCTCGCAACGCTGCTGGCAATTATCTTCCCTCTTTCAAACGAGTCATTCTTTCTTCCACAGAAATCTAACTGTTCTTCGGTGTCGA